GTGTTAGTTATGCTACCTGTCTGGGAATGCAGACACCATGTCCTGCTATAGATTTATCTGAGACCCCACCTTTTAGGTAACTCTGTTCTCGCCACCATTCCCAAACAGGTCATTAAACATGTAGTTTAAAAGGTGCTGAGCATGGATGTGCTGGAATGACATTTCATTCTTCCAATGAAATTGCTGGAGACATCTATGACAGAAATTAACTATGATATTTGACACTTCTTTCCTGAAACTTACAAGTGCTCTTTGGTATTTACTGGGCACTTTACTGGGTAGGGTGCATAGGTATATATGCATATATTTACAAATGCAAGTGCTTGTGCCTCTTAAGAACAACAGCATTGCCTCTGACAACAGCATGTGCTGCTGGAAGCAGTGCACTTGTCTAGTAAAGAGATGTATCAGAAGTCAGGGGTTGGTGCAGATCCTCTTTCCAACCCCTGTGTAATCAAATATTTACAAGGTAGTTTTGGTTGCAGGGAGGGAAAGGGATTTTTTCCACCCACAGGGGGCCACCTGCTTTTTAATACAGGAAAGAGGAAAAAATGGTTCAGAGAGAAGTGAAATGCCTCATTACAGTACTGGATGTTATAGGAGCTCACTGTAACCACTTTCTACAGTTTATTTCCCCTCTTTGCACACTGTGAAAACAAGACGAGAAATGTACTAGACATGGTCACTTCCTTCTTTTCTGTCCTCCACTGTAAAAGAATTTCCTGGCAGGAATGTGCTGTATTATGTAAATGGAAGAGACAGAAATGTTGGGGTTTGGGGTTTTTTTGTTTGTTTGTTTTTAAAGAAGGTTAGCTTCCTATTGGTTGGTATGTTACTATATCTAGTAAAAATAGGATAATTTTATAATGGGATTTAATAATGAGCATCGTATTTTAAAAACTAACATTACTAGCCCACTAGCCAGTGAAACTGTGGTACTTGGCAACAGGACTGGAGACGAGTCACCAGTATGATAACTCTCTTAGACGTAAAGGCATTTTCAAGTTCAGGTAAAATAAGACTTGAGTACTTTTCTCTCCTACCAACAAATAGTAGAGATAGATACGCAAAATATATAACAATTCCTACCTTGCCATTGGCTGCAGTTTTCTTTTTGTTGTCTCTTCTCATACATGTGGGTTTTTAATTAAGTGAATATCTTCCAGGAAACAGCAGCATGCACCTTGTGGAATAGTTGACAGAGAGACTTTAAAATACATTTTTTTTATAAGAGAAGCATTAGTGTGTGCCAGCTGAAGATCCTAGAATTCGAGAGAGAAACTTTCAGAACACTGATGTAGCAGTCTCCCATACCAAGCTGCCCTGGAAATAAATCATAGCTGAGCAGGAGGTAGGTGAACCAAGAGGTGAGATGCAGAGGTAAAGCTAGGTAATCTCTTGGCTAAACTGCTACACTTGCTCAAATTGGACTACAAAATATAATTTTACAGACAGATATTTCTCTTCACAAGCTCACCTTGACACAAAACAGTGCAATACCAGAACTAATGATCCTAATATTAGAAGTCAATTAAAAGATTTCTATTTATTTCCAACAGTCAGTAGAATCCGTGGCAGGGTAGATGAATTGTCTAGGGAAAGCCAGGTACAGAGAGGCTAAGAAATTATCCATCTCTGCTGGGTTTTCCTGCCTGCCTGGGGTGTCCTGAAAGCTCACCTCGCTGCTTGTGGATCCGACACCTCCAGAACATCCTGAAGCCGCAGGCCACCAGAGTGGGCTTGTAGGGGCAGTGCCAGGGCTGGCGAGGTAGGAATCCCCACGGGTGACACTGCTCTTGCTCCTCTCTGCAGTGCCAGCTCCTCCACACTTAATGAGCAGGTCAGCCCTCTGATCCAGCAACCAAAAACTGGTCCCAGGGGAGAAATGCCAGGGGGTAGACACACAGGAGAAACCTGCAGCAAGGAGTGAGAGATGGATCACCGCTTTCTGTGTCAGTGGGGAGTTAACAGCAGTGTACGCCAATTGCAAAACCACCTCCTTTGGGACCTGGAATGAAACTGCTCTTAAATTGCTATTTTGGACTTCACGGTACTAAAAATCTGTCATGAAAATTGCATTAATTTTGATCCCGGAAATAAAAGAATCCCGTGACCCAGATACTCAGTGGAAAATGGAATTACTCACTTGTTTTCTTCTGTTTTGGACATATTGGCTGCTTTCAGCCAGAAATCATTGCATGATGTCAAATATTCCTGAGCTCAGATTTAACTCACACCGTGCGATGGTTTATAGCAATGCATTTTGAGATGATAGTGGAAATTAATAGTGGAAATACTTTTGTAAAAGTTAAAATATTTTCATGCCAAATGCACCTTCTACCTCTTCCTGGTAAGATCAAAGTCCTCTGGGATGCATACCCAGACTGAAGATGTATTTTAGCTCTGTAGCACCACTTGAAAGCCTGAATCTAACGACTGTTTTCAAAGTTATCACAGCTATAAAAATAATATTTTCTTTAGCAGACAGACCAGGTAACACCAATGCAAGAACAAATAATACGGGAAGAATAGCTGAACATATTTGAAATGACTGAATATGCTGGACAGAAAAGATCCAGTTTAACTATAAAAGAGCTTTGTTACAGACTTTAAGACCCTGATGTTGTAACTGTGGGCATTTGGGCAGGCTGTGGCACTATGCCCTTGAGGAAAAGTTTCAGCAGG